TATATAATTAAAAGTTTTAAAAATATATTTATTTTTTATATTTAGTTTTCACTTTTTTTATACTAAAAAAGTAAATATTTTTAATATCTTTATATATTTTCACAGATGGTAACTTTTTTTTTTTAATCTTTTCTAGCTCTATTAGTTCTTTATATTTATCAGTTAGAGTTTTATACTATTAGAATTTTAAGTAATTTAATTGATTCTTTTTAAATATATTATCTTTGATATTTAATAATATAATATTAGTTATTAATACTATTTTATCTTTTGATATAAATTCTAATAATTCAATATTAACATCTTAAAAAACTTTTATTTATCTTTTCTTTTAAGACTTTAATATCTGTTTATTGAGTTTTTTCAAAGTTATACTGATTAGATAATAATAGATTTTTGATTATATTATTATCATATAATTATATATTGAATTAAATAATCTCATGATCTGATTCTGATACTTTTTCTAAATTAATAAATTATTTTCATATTTTTTTCCTATAATGTTCTTTAAATAAAAATATTAAATCTATAATTAACTTTTTTAATAGATTTTATTTATAGTATATTTCTTTATTAGAATTATTAATTAATTTTAATTATTTCAAAATCAGTTAATCTATCAATTTATCTACTATTATAAACTGAGTGTAGTCATCATTTCATCATTAATAATGAGTATTGAAATCTCTATTTATAATTAATCTTTTATTTACTGATAAATTTAAAAAAACTTTATTTATTATTTAATTACTATTATTTTCCTGTAAAGATTTCTCATTATAGATATTAATTAATTGAATAAATTTAATTTGATTAAATTTATTTATAATATTATTAACTAAAATATCAGAATTTAAAATAATATTATATTTCAAATTGAATTAAAATCTTAAACTCTTTTTAAAATATATTATTACTCTAGATTTGACTTTAATATTCTTTAATAAAAAATAATAATAAGTAGAATATAAAATTTAAAATTGATATTCAATATTTAATTTTTTTTATATTAGAATAAAATTAATTTTTTAAATAAAAGCTATATATAGATAAGAATAAATAGAAATATTATTTTTTTTATATTATTCTATAAATATATAATTTTAAAAGAAAATTTTTACTTTTTTATTTTTTTTTATTGTAGTAAATATTTAAATAATTATATGAATAAAATTTTCTCTTTTAAATATTATAATTTATTATTATTAATAATAATTATACTTTTTAAAGAAATTAATTTCTGAAATCTAATTCTAAATATTTTTATAAATATAGTTGAATTTATAATCTATATGATTTCTATTGAATACTTACTTTTTGATAATCTCTCTACTTGAGAATTTATTCTTTTAATTTTACTACTTGATTAAAATTTTATTTTATTTTTATTAAAAATTATTTTATCTCTTTAATTCTCTCTTAAAATTTTATATCTTTTATATTATTAGTTTTAAACTGCTTAGTAGTTAATAGAATTTCTTTTTTCATATTAAATAATTTGTAAAATTAGTCAAAATATTATATTTCTTAATATATTTTATTTAATTTTAAATTTAGTTAAAATCTTTATTATAATGATAGTTTTTTTAATTTTTATAAATAATTTACAAGATCTTTATTTATTTTATTACTGCTAGTTTTGATAGTAAATATTTCTTTACTAGCTCTCATTTTTTCAACTTTTTATTAAAATTTCACAATCTCTAATTTCATTTGAATTTCTTTATTTATTTCTAATATATAATCATTAAACTTATATATATTTTATAATATTTCATCAATCAGATTTTTATATATATTATTAGACTTGTTTAATTCTTTTAAAATTATCTTGTCTATTTTAAACTTTTCAAAAACACTTTTACAAGTTATATTAAGTGTAAATAATAAATTTCAAACTTTAAAGTTCTATTTTTTAGAATTTTATTCTTTGATTTTTAATTTTATATTATTTTAAATATATATTCTTTTGATAAATCTGATATTCCACTGAAATGTAGAATGATTTTATCAATGTTATTCAATTATTGTTTCTTCACAGTGAAAGATCTCTAATTCAAAAGTTTTATAATCTCTAAGAGAACTGATATCAACCTTGTTGTTCTGTGAGACTCTAAGTGAGTTAGCTATACTATTATATATGTAGGTGCACGTGACACAGGGGGCATTCACTAACACCCAAAGCAGGTAACTTCAGGGAGTTGGGAATGTTTCAACAGTGCGCTAGACTATATGAGGCATTGGCTGAGTTAAAAAATACACGTGACGAAACTTTGACTTCCGCTGACGTAAGTTATGGATGTTACCTCAGCAACCAACCCATGCTTTCATTGGTAACGCGGTTGACAGCAAGCAAGTAGACGAGATAATCAACTACTATATCTATTTACTGTGCCCTACCTTGCCTAAGCGATGTGCATTCGTCTCCCATCCACAACTAGATTTGCCTTCTGCCACCTAGAATTTCGGTGGGTTAGTCTGCCGGTGTAATAGAATCCCCCAAAAGTCATCCATCAATCAAACCTCAAAAAGATGTTCGCCGCAAGAGACCAAGAAAACCTTGTCCGTGCCCACCAGATTGCAGCTGTTTCAAAGCCGTTGAACCAGGGTACTAGGCAACTTCAGCCAAAAACTCCGGGTACCAGAGTACCCAAAACTCCCTTTAAAGCACCATTGAATGACGAGAACAATCCCCTGACCTTTGGGGGAGGAAAGCAAACGCTGAAGGACAATAACAATGGACAGAATGAAAACCTGAGGAGATCGGGGAAGGATGGCATTGCAGGCAAAAATGCATTGGTTACGCCAATGTGTGAGTTGGTCTGAAATTTCAGTATTCGGCTTTAACACAGGGTGCTTGGAGCTGATCTCATGTCTATTTTCTGACAAACTTCAGGCCTGCACAATCGTGCTCCTCTGGGGATAAAAACGACGAATGCAAAAGCAAAGGGATTTCAAACTCCGACAGCACCCATGGGCTTATTGAGACATACAAAGACAACAAAACGCCCGTCCACGACCCAGAAGCTTAAGCATAATGCCCCAGAAGTTCAACAATGTAAAGCGGCTGCTCCGGTGGACATTGAGGAAGATGTTAACGATATTGAATATATGTCTCCAAGGCCCATCGGTTTGTTCTATCGTCTCCTGTCATTGATAACTAGTTAGACAGTTCCTAATACAACCCGTGCATTTCCAACAGCACTACCAGATCCTCCCGAAAATATTCCCTATGACACGACTTTCCCACAGTTCAAAGGCAAAAATTTCACTCGAGGGTGGCACAAGCTATACCCTGATAATGAAGTTGGCGAAGATGGATTGACACGCAGGCAGCGGGAGATGAAAAGACAGCAAGAGGCATACGATAAGCAGATGGAAGACATGATACAAAAGGAAATCGATAACATGGAGCTGCTGGGAATTAACGTCCGTCAGTTCCCCCATGAGCCATGTGCGGAAGAGATAGCTCTGGATATTACGAGGAAACAAGTACAGAAGCAACAGACATCGAAGATGATCGTTGTCGACCGTTCATTGTCAACTATCAAATCCCGTACCGCTGCGAGACTGCTTTCCCAGCAGCAATCACGGCCAACCATGATGCCTGCTCCCGTATCCTCATCAACATCAACATCAACACCATTCCCGAAATGCAAACCTAAACCCAAGGGCAGCTCCACGCCTAGAATCAGATTCTCGTCTGGTTTGTTTCCTCCCAAGAAGCAACCTACTCCGACAAATCCGTCAACCTTTTCCCATGTCGCTGCCACAGTCAGTTCGCGAACGACTGTTGGATATTCCAAGGGCCGAAGCGTAGTATCCAATTTACGGCAGAAGCCGACCAATGCTGCTAATAATAAACAAAGCGACCGACAGACAAATTCGAACTCGAGCAAATCTGATATTCTTTCACCTGCTAGATATATGCAGTTGTACGGTAACCCGCCCTTTGGCAGTGAGATGTGGTCACGGTGCAAGGCTGCCGGACTTTTCGACGCTGAAGTTACTGATGCTGAGCTGGACGCTTTCCTCGAGGAGATTCCCTCATTTACCGAGGAGGATGAAGAATACGCTAATTTTCAACTTACTTTGTGAAGGTATATTAGATTTTCCTTCTACATTCCTTTTTTTTTTTTGTTTGTCTTTTTGCCCTTGGGAATTCTGAACGACATGACGTTGAGTGGGTTGCTATCACAGGTTTTGGCTGATGATCTGGCGTTATGAATTGGCATAGCCTCCTTTTTTATCAAATTTATATATCTTGGAACGCATTTATTCTGAGGCACCATTTGACTTTTTCTCTATTTTGTGTCCAAATTCCGTATTACCTGTGTAAAAAGTTTGTTGACCTCCAAGTTGATGTGAGTATCTATGTTTCAACTTGACTCACCTGGGAGAAACCGGCTTATGGGACACTTTTTATGTTCATTTAAAGCTGTTTTATACAAAATTTTTATTCTTTAAAATATTAATTGATGATACAAATTCACTGTAGACAAAGTTGTCCATTTCCCGTATTTTCTCAGAACTACCTCGAAATTTGAGATTGCTCTCAACAGAAAAATGTTGCCTTGCAGATCTGTTTAGCTCCCACACTTCACAAAGTGAACACAAACCCCCCCCC